AGTGGGCTCACTCTTGTGGGATATGTCTGAGGCAAGACCAGTCATAGCTTGGCCACTACCATAATCTCTGTGCCACCCTTATCCCCCTGTACTTACAATATGCAGAACAGACTATAGATCAAAGGGTGTGTATCTGGGCAAACCTCCAGTCTCTCCACTGGAAATCCTGCATGGTCACAGGAAATAACCAGTTCAGGCTACATATAAGATTCTTAGCTGGGGTCATCCTTGTAGATTTCTAGCAGTTTCTCTTGCACCATGGAAATGCTTCTCTTTCCAGTCATCTTTCAGTACTATCCCCTCCATCCACCCCATACCCAATCCCTCATGTTCCCATCTCCACCTGCCCCAGTCCATCCAGGAGATCTCTTCTATTTCCCCTCCCCTGGGATAGCCCTGCATTCCCTGGTTTCTTTGTTGTTGTTGTTTGTTTGTTTCATTTATTTCCTTTAGAATTTGGGGACTTCTCCTTTCTCAGCAAGATGGAATGATTTCCAGAGCAAAATATATGAAAATGAATGTAGAGGAATAAAGCAATGGAGTGTGAATAATGAAGGTGATATTGTGAATTTATACACTCATCAAAGTTCATACCATTGCCAGACTAGAAAAAAATTAACGAAATCTTTTTGACATAATTGACATTAGTTTGATTTTTGAGATGTTGGCTCTTAAGAACTTATGTCATTTATGTAACGGCTGGGAATACAGCCTTAGACACATGTGTCAGAAGATGTATGGCTGTGGATTTATAATTCAATCATTTCAGAAGAGATTACCATATAATAAAAGATCCAGAGCTCAAAGGTGAATCCAGGATAACCCAAGCATCAAGAAACAAGTGACAGAGTGAAGGGAGAGAATGGAGTTTCTAGAAAAACAGGAGATTATGGTCAAAGATAAGAAGGTTTCAAAATAAGTCCTATCAAAAGCATCATAAATTAGAAGTGGCAGACTGATAAAGGAGGAAAACATGTTTTTGAAAGTTAGAATTTTGAGTCATTGCACAGAAGACATTTAAAATTCATGAAAACAATATGGCACTTGTACATGCCATCATAAGTGAATACATTTATATGGGCACAAATGTATGTTCAGGTGCATGCTGGAATGTGGTGACTTGAGATTGCTATATGCAGTGTCTTCTTCCATAGCTGTCCTCTTGTACACTGAGGCAGACCTCATATTTACTCCAGCTTGTCTAGCTTGTTCTGAAACATAGTCCTCACACTTGACCAGCACATGCTTTCTCCACTGAGCCATCTCCCCACACAAGCAGTTAATGTTTAGGCCACACAAAAGTTATAGACTATCGCTGAACTCTGTGGTCTACCTATATTTTTAAGAGGACCTGAGCATCCAATGCTATTCTTTCTTTCTATAAAATTGGGTATGAATTTAGATTAGTTTTCTTGGGTTCAATGTGAGACCCAATTGTAAGCACAGACCAATCAATCATTGATCTTGTATCCATTTACCAAACGCTACCTCAGCACTTTCCACAATCATCAGTTATGAATCTAGGAGCAAGAAATTAAATAAACTAAAAATCAACAGTTATCGTCAAAGTTTGGAAATGAAAATGCTAAATTACATTTTCAAACTGAAAATTATACTAGTACATGCTGAAGAGCCTACTAAAAACTCTTGGGCCTGAATAGACCTCTTCATTTCACATGTGAAGATATGTAATGATAATTTGCTTGTCTGACTTTTACAACCTTACTAGCTATACAGAAAATATGTAGCATAGGTAAGCAAAATTGAAAAGTAAAATATGTTGATATTTGACCAAATTATCTAATTGTCTAAACAATTCAATTTTAAGTATGATAATGATGTTTATAAATACTAAATAATGAAAAAATTATAACAATTTAATTTAATAAATTTTAACATTTTTCATAAAAATTTACTATAATTTGAAATTTTTTCTTTATGACTTTTGATACTAGGTTTTATTTTGTAGGTCGGGGGGCATGGAACTCTTGGCAATCTTCCTCCTTTTTGCCTCTGAAAAACCAAAACAACCATACTTGGCTTTAAAACATTCTCGAGGAATTGGATAGGATAAAAATGTGTGAGATTTTAGGACATGAGTGTTATCACCATTGGCTGGAAGCCTTTTCTTCAACTGCTATAGGAATTCATTGTATCAATGATTCAATTGAAAGACATACTCAGATCACTGTTCGGAGAATTACTGAGGTCTGGTCCTTGACACCTGAAGCTTTCTATTATTATAATGTTGAATAAATGTTATTACAATTGTAGCATGAATTTTAAAAGTTCTTATCAATAAAATCAAACCTGAGGCCAGTTATTGGGATGAATGCTGGAAGATCAGAGAAGCAGAAAAAGCCACAGCTTCCTCACCTAGACAGTTCCTCAGCTGATCCTGTTTCCTCAGACTGGAAGTTTTTGTGTCCTCATCCCAATGTTTCTCAGCTGAACTGCTGCTCGAAGCCTGAAGATTAACCAGCTAAAAGCTTAACCAGCCAAATGCTTCTAGTTTCTGGTCTTCATGCCTTATATATCTTTCTGCCTTCTACCATCACTCCCTGGGATTAAAGACTCACTTCTTGGGATTAAAGGCCTGTGTCACCATGCCTGGCTGTTTCCAACGTGGCCTTGAACTCACAGAAATCCAGAGGGATTTCTGTATCTGGAATGCTAGTATTAAAGGTGTGTGCTACCACTACTTAACCTTTATGTTTAATATTGTGGCTGTTCTGTCTCTGACCCCAGATAAGTTTGTTAGCATGCACAATATTTCAGGGAACACAATACCACTGCATACAATTTTCATTTTATTTTAATGTTACACCTATTTATTTGTTTTTATGTATAGGCATGCATGAAAGCATGCACGGGCAGTAACACAGGGAGGTAAGAGGACAGCTTCCAAGAGTTGTTCTCTCCTTCCATGTAAATTCCACAGATGAAACTCAGCACACGCAACTCAGCAGCAAGTGCCTGCACCCACTGAGTTATCTTAACAACCCAGCATTTTTTCTATGTTTAGAATCTTTTTGGCTCTATTTACAGAATGTGAACTTTAGGTATAAATAAATTTAGAATGATGAATATAACAATAAAGTCGTGCCACCGTTAGTAATTGTAAAACCTTTGAAAAGCTTTTGCTGATGGTTGTGTTCTCTAACCTTGCAAAGAGTTTCAGGATGTGCATACTCTCACTGTTGGGGAAAGGCAGAGAATGCAGTTATAAATATATAAACATTGGCAGCAATCAGAGTTGTTTTTCAGTCTCTGCCCAGCAAGCCACTTGCATCATATTAGCAAATACTTCCCCGTGAAAAGATCTGGAATCCTCTGCCAGAATCTCATCTTCAGGGACTGGAACAGCTGACAACAAATTTCATCAAAACTTTTGTAAGCCTTACTACTAATTGGCAGCATTCAAACACTCTATTTATATTCTGGCTTTGTGCCATCGCCATACAAGTGAAACATTGTGTAGATCAAGTGATTTCATTAAAAAAAAAATAAATAAAACACCACTGGAAGATTTGGTACTTGAAGGAGGAGTTGGCCAACATCTCATTGCTTTTCAGACAGGAATCATTGTTAAGGTGCTGATGACTGTCTTCCCTTTTAAACTGTGTTTCCTTAGTTACATTCTCATTGTTATAGAAAGACATTCTCAGCTCCATTTATTTGCATGTTTCTTCCTAGCGAAGTTTCCTAGTAGGCTCCACTTCTCTTGATTACTGTCTATCACTCATTCAGATGATGTTGGTGTTTTATCTCACATGCCCCTAATGCTTTTCTCTTTCATAGTGTTTGGTTGCCCCTCATTGAATTCTTTCCATCCTTCTTTTGTCAGGAAACACTATGTTCCTGTGCTTCCAATTCTCCAGTGATGACTATTACATTAAGTTCTCCTTCAAGTTATCATTTTAGCATATCTCACACACATTTAGAGGTCTAAATTTTTAGTGATTGTTACTAAATATTTTCTTTTTAATATTTTTGCTCATATACATAGAAACATGTTAATGAAAATATAAAAATGAAACATATTTCAGATATTTTAAGATCAAAATTACAATTGAAGAGTTGACAAAATGTAAATTCCTTTAATGTTTTCTACATATATAAGTAGTAGGGATTTCTAAAAACTTTAGGTGAAATGCTTCTAAATAGAAAAACAAATGTTAAAAGTCATTAAGGGAAAGAGAATGGGTGTGTTTAAAAGACTAGACACTGATAATGAGATGATTATTTCCAGGTTACTCAGTCTTCTTTTAGAGATATATAGTTAGAAGTTTTTCTGTGTCCCGACAGTTGGCACAATTCTCTCCCACTTGTGTCCCCCAAGTAAACACACAGAGGCTTATATTAATTATAACTGCTTGGCCATTAGCTAAGACTTATTACTGACTAGCTCTTACACTTTAATTAACCCATAATTCTTATCTATGTTTAGCCATGTGACTTGGTACCTTTTCTCAGTTCTGCCTTGTCATCTTGCTTCCTCTATGTCTAGCTGGTAACTCCTCACTCAGCCCTTCCTCTTCCCAGAATTCTCCTCGACTGCTTGCCCCACCTATACTTCCTGTCTGGCTACTGGCCAATCAGCATTTTATTAAACCAGTGTACATTATCCTACAGATGAGATCAGCCCTCAATTTCAGTTTCCTGAGATTAAACAAGCAATTCCCGAGGAGAGCCTTGAACAAAGGACAATTAATCACTGGTACCCCTGACCACAGGGAGAAGGGAGATAGAATACACCAAGCCTGAGCCAGTGAGCCAACCCCCTGGGTCAATGCATACTAGCCCAGCTAGCCTCCACAGCAGATCAAGGATAAGCCCAGAACATGTCCAGGCCTGCCCCAAAATGAAAAACTATAGCCTTACCAGCCCTGGCCAATTAGAAGTTACTAACACGATTGCCACTCACATAAGCCAGTCATATTTAAGATGAGCTAATTTCCTTGGACACTCCCCTTCAGTTATGCTTGAAAGGAGCTCACAGATGTCTTTTAAGGTCTTTACCATTTTGCCTTTGTATGGAATGGCAGGCTCCATCAAGCTGGAATAATAATTGCTCTGGTTGATTGAATACATGAATGGTGGTCTTTTGTGGAACTTCTCCAGAACCCAGTTGGATGGCTGTGAGTACTTCATTTTTAGGAATTAGATTAAGTCTTTGACTCTTTTTTTGTTTGTTTGTTTGTTTTTGTTTTATTATTTTACAATACTATTCAGTTCTACATAATAGCCACAGATTCCCTTGTTCTCTCCCTTCCTGCCCTCCTCCCCTTCCCCCCAGGCCACCCCCATTCCCACCTCCTCCAGATCAAGGTCTCCCCAGAGGACTGGGATTAACCTGATAGACTCAGTCCAGGCAGGTCCAGTCCCCTCCTCCCAGATTGAGCCAAGCGTCCCTGCATAAGTCCCAGGTTTCAAACAGCTAACTCATGCAATGAGCCCAGGACCTGGTACCACTGCCTAGATGCCTCCCAAACAGATCAAGCCAATC